ATAGTATTGTTTTGATCATTTTATTTTGAATGCCAATTCTTCCTGATCTAAAATATTCAATTTATGTCTTGCCATCATCCAGTTTTCTTTTGCCACCTTATCTCCCGGATTTTGCTGCAATTTCCTTTCTGCCTCCCCCAATTTCTCTAGATGTTCCTTCTGTACCTTCCTTTTTTCTTTGTTTTTATGTGCACTATATGATATGGCCAACCCTCTTAAATATGCCTTCATTGTGTCCCATATAATTACTCACGATATTTCTTGATTTTCATTCTCTTTGAAAAATAATCTTAATTCTCCCTTAACTTTTTCTATATATTCTTTATCCCTCAAGAGTTGCGTATTTAACCTCCATCTCTTCCGTTTCTTCCTCTGTAGATTTTTCCATCTTATTTCTAAAGGATTATGGTCTGCCCATATATTTGGTGTTATTTCTGTAGATTCTATTTCCATTCCCAGATTCCTACTAACCCATGTCATGTCAATTCTCAACCACGATTTTTGGGAATTCGAGTAAAAGGTATATTGTCTATTATTCGGGTGTAAAGTCCGCCAGATATCTACTAAGTTCAATTTGTCCGTTAAATCGAAAAAAGTTCTTGGTAATTTATCCCCCACCCCTTTTTTTTGTCTTTGCCACTCTTATGGTCCTTATCAGAGTCTACTATCCCATTAAAATCTCTTGTTATACAAATATTACTATACTCCAGTTTACTTATTTGCTCATGGAGTTTTCTGAAAAATTCCCCCCGTTTTTGTTTGGGGCATATATAACTACCAATAGTATTGGAGAGTTCCCTCTCATTATCTTAATCATTAGTATTCTCCCCTTAGTATCCTTTCTATTTTAACTCCGCTAAAATCCCTTTTTTAACATATATTACTATGCCCCTCTTATTTTTCCGCCAATGAAGTAAAAGTTTTTCTAAATTTCTTGTATTCTAAGCACTTTTCATCTTCTTTTCTTATATGGGTTTCCTGAAGGCATATTATGTCTGCATTCTGCTTAGCTAATTTTATAAGTATTTGTTTTCTTTTTATTATCATTTAGTCCATTAACATTAATTGATATCAGTTTCCAGTCGTTCATTTCTGATTTTCTTGTCTGGCTTTAGTTCCTGTTTGCTCGTGTAGTTCTTAGAGGTCTTAATTTCTTCCCTTTTGTCTCTTTATTTTCCTTTTCTTCTGTTTCCTTCTTCTCCGGGGTACCTTCTTTAGAATTCTGTTGGTGGAGGGTTTCCTCTTCTAGTGCTATTGCTTCTATTTCTTCCTTGCTACTTTGTTCCTCCTCCGTTCCTCTCAATTGGTTAAGGAAGTCTTGTGCTACTATCAGACTGTCTATTTTGATTTTCTTCCCCTGCCAGGTAATTAACATACCTTCCAGCAGTATCCATCTGAACAGGGTGCTCCTTTTATTTAATTGTATGGCTAAAAATCGATAGTCTCTTCTCACTTCCCTCACCCTCCTGGGAACCTGTTTCAAAATTATCACCTCTTTCCCTCTCTACGTCACTGGTTCTTCTCTTGCCATGTTGTACAATATATCCTTCACTTTTTTCCTCGCGAATCTGACATGGACTTCCCTGGGTAGCCTATTCTTTCTGGCATAATTGGTCTGTACTCTATAAACTTCATCCAATTCTTTGATTATCTCCTGCTTGTCTTGTTGTAATATTTCTGTGATCAATTCTGCCATCACTTACCCCAGGTCTTCCTCTTTATCTTCTACTATATTTTGAAAGAGTAGGTAAAAGGACGCTTTATCCATCTCTAACTGGATTATCGAGTCCTCTAGCTCTCTATTCTGTGCCATCAATTTCTGGTCTACTGAATCCAAATTCTTCTCATTTTGTTCCACCCTGGTTTCCACCTTTTTTATCCTTTGTTCATTGCTGTGTAATGATTCTTGTATCTCATTCATCTTGTGGTCTAGGGCTTGGATATCCATCTTTAGCTCTTCATGGTTGTTGGTCATCTTTTCTTGCATCTTCAGCATGGTGTCTTGGATTATTGTCAGGGTCGATTGCATGGCTTGCATAGTCGGTATCACCATAGATTTTTCTGTTTTAGACAGCCCTTCTGTCGATCTCTGCGTTGCTGGTGAAGTCATAGTTATCGTAGGATTGGAGGTAGTCTTCTTTCCTGTTTTTAATACCATTGATGAAAGGCTTGTCATGTCTCTCAAGACCTTTTTTTGGCCTCTTACTATTCTTTCAATATTCCTCCAAATTATCATTCACTGACCTCTTCTCTTTATCCAATATAATTTTGTTTCTTATATTACTAAAGATGCTCGTATATATATATATATATATATATATATATATATATATATATATATATTAATGTATACCCTTCAAATATTAGATAACTATACTTATTTATCAATCAATCAATCAATATCTATGTCTAAATGTACTTAATTTATGATGATACTACTTCATTTGCAATTAATTTATAGTTAATTTGGATATATTCACAGATAATTAAATGCGGTAATTGTCAAGTTCTATTTCCCATATTATATCACAGTTCTAGTATATTACTTATCTTAAATCAGCTACTTTTTTTTTTTACTAGCACCAAGCAAAAAATTAATGAAAAGAATATCACATATTTAAATTAAGGCTATATATACTATATATACTATATACTATATGAATTTTAAAATATATATAAATATATCTAAGTTGTATAAATGTATGAAGATATATAAATTAATCTAGAAATATGTAAAGGAGTAGATAAGAGTATATAAATATATAAAGATGTCAATGTATAAAATATAAAAATCTAAGGATATCAAGAAATAATTAGGTTACTATAGCCGTCAAAAGTTCTTCTCCTGTTGTTAAATCGATCACCAGTGATTTTTGAGTCCTCCTCTTTCCAATGCCGGCCGATCTAAAAGAGAATTCCAGTACGCCTTCTTCAGCTATCGCACCATCAGCTCCTTATATTGGCTGCACTTTGTTTTCCCTCTCAGTTGCCACCAAGTCACCGTCCTTAATTTCTTATCCAATCCGTGACAACAAACAAGAGTTCTCCTATTTATTGTTGCTTGCCATATCCCACCGATCTTCCGTTTGCGCCTATGATCTGTCACAGCAGTCTCTTTAGTCTTCCTTGCCGGCTTGTCGGCGTGCTATACTATCCCAGTCTGCTCTTTTCTTTCAATCGCCACTTATTTCCTTTCTCTGAATCTTTCACACCCGACTCCGCCAACCTTGTTCCTCTAATGCCGCTCTCCACAGTATTCAGGGAAAAAGAATCCTCTTATAACACCGCTTTCTCTGATCTTTCTCACTTCCCGTCTCTTTGCTGGCTACCGCGGCCTTGGGTCCGCCATTAGATGACAGACACACACGTGCTGGTTTGACAGAGGCGTCGGGTCGTGCAATGGGCGCTTGCTCCTCACTTTCTCGCACACCAGACTCTCTATTGTCCGCGAAGCTCTCTGGGCTTCGTGCCCCTAAATGGGTCCCCAAAGCACAGTGGTTAACGGTGTTGGAGAGTAGCAATCACTCTCACAATGCCATATCACCGCGGATCACCAACCGGATTCTAAGGCAGAGGTATTTATAATAATTTGACTAACTTAGATAAAATTTTAATAGGGTCTGATGACTATGTAATTAAAAAATTGTATGGTTTTTATTAGAGGTAAAGTTGGAAGAAGAACAAGTTAAAGAAACAATGACTGCATGGAGGAAAAATTTTGGTTATGGAATTGATTTAGAGAAATGGCAAAAACTGTGGTTGCAAAATTACAAAATGACAATGTCAACAGCATATAAGGAAAATTTGTATAAGATGTTTTACAGGTGGCATTTACCCCCAACAAGAATTGCCAGAATGTTCAAGAACAAATCGGAAAAGTGCTGAAAATGTCATCAGACACCAGGCTCATATTACCATATGTGATGGACATGCGTAGAAGCTAAAAGATACTGGACTATAATCCACACATGGTTGGAAAAAATGATAAAAAAACACATAGACTTTAAGCCAGAGATTTTTTTTATTAGGAATTGTGCCAGAAATATACAATAGAGAATTGCGATATTTGATTGTGAATATTTTAACAGCGGCTAGAATTGTGTTTGCGAAAAATTGGAAAAATGAGAAAATACCAACGCAAGATGAAGTTATTAAGAAAATTATGGAATGTGCTGAGATGAGTAAATTGACATTTGAAACAAGAAGATAAACAATATTATAAGATATGGGATTTATTTTATCAATAGCTAGATAAGAAAGCAGGGAAATTAAATATGAAACAGGAAATGAATGCTATAAATATAATATTTGAAAATAATTTTTATGAAGCGGTAAAGCCATAGTTAAATAAATGATAAATGAGGTGGTTTATTTGTTTGACAATATGAGAAATTAAATGACTAGTAAATTTTGAATATGGAGATGAAGAATAAAAGTTTTGTAACTGACCGACACATTGTTTGAAATTGTAATGGAAGGTGGATTTATGTTTTATGCCTTGTTTAAAAATAAAAAATAAAAATTTCAAAAAAAAAATGTGGGAGGGCATAGCTGCAAGGAAATTATTCAGCAGAGAAATGACAACTTCAGTTCAGACTGGATTTCTTTAAATTAGCTTAGAATCAAGTCAGCCAAAACATAGGACAGGAAAGCTTAAATGGTAAATGTAGATATTCTAAGAATTTTTTTCTGACCTACTACAGATTCTCCATAGCATCATCATCCTTCCTAATTTATGAATCTTTATTTATAATATTGCTTAACTAAGAATATTAAGAAACTTATAAGTGAATTTCTAACTTCAGATCTGGCCTAATAAATGTTAGTTAATATGGATTTTGGATGAAAGAGAGAACTAAGAACATACAAAGGAATGCATATATTGACGTATTCTATTTTGTAAAGTAAGTGGGAAAGCTTAACATACTAAAGGTTCTGTTACCGGATTAGGATACAACACTTTCTCTAAGCATCATGCATATTTAATATAAGACACTTACTCGACCTTCTGGATTCTTGTCAGGGTGGTATTTCTGAGCCAGTTTAAAATAAGCTTTCCTGATCTTGCTTTCATCATGTCTATAAAATACAGAAAAGATTATATGTATTACCTACAATTCAATAGTCTTGTTAGTCAGAAGAAAAAACACATTTATAGTTACCTTTTGCATCTATAACATTAACATTTAATTTTGGCAACAGTCTTTGAAATAGTTGATCTGATTCACTCAAATTATACATTTTTTATAACATCCAAGTCTGTATGTTACTCTATGCTGAATTCAGACAACAGTATAAAGGCTTAAATCCTTTATTTAAGGATTTCAATTATATTTTATATAATTATATTTTATAACTAGAAACTTACAGCCCTTGACCCTTTGGTAGATTCAGAACTTCATAAGCATCATCTATGGACATTGTAGGTGCCTTCTTTTCAACCTCCTTCTTCCAGGTTTCTAGAGTATCTTTTAAGAGTTTAACCTGAATATAGAAGATTTCTATTTAGCGTTTCCATATAAGGGCTTTTTATGTAGTATTCTCTCTTCTAATATTGCTAACTATACTTAACAAATTTGGGATGGTGGAGTATATGGACCATAACAAGCAGAGTGACAGTAGCAAATTGATGGGAGTAGAATTTTCTGGTTTCAGGGAGAGGGTTCTTCTTAAAAATTCCTTACATTATACTTATCATATCTTCAGAATGATGGTGCTATGGTAGTAATTTTCGATAACATGGTCACAAAAGCTCTTTCAAAGAGTTATTTTCGAGAAGAATGGAGAGGAAATAACTATTATCTTATTTTTCCTTGTATTTCTTATTTTTTTACAAATTTGAAAGAACAGTCAACTAATTTAAATTAAATATATAAACATTTATGTCACAGTTGGAGCATGAACAACCTGACAGTCATGAGGTTAGGGATCTCACGTTTCTTGGCATACTTCCATATATTTCTTAAGTCCACAATGTTAGAAACTAGGAAGATGACCACAAATTGACTTACAGGATCTTTAATTGGCCAATCAGGAAACCGAAGCTTATCACAAAGATGTCTGAGGTAATAAATATTGCAAAACAGCTCATTTTCCAGTTGAGGATAACTGATAACTGGTATGGGGCAGTACTGGTAAAGTGCTCTTGTATTACTTTGAAGACGAGGGGTGAAGTCAGCAAGGTGTGCCGCTATCTTCTCTATCATTAGGCGCCTGCAAATTGCAAATATCTCTTTAATCAAAGAAACATTAACATTCTTTCAGGCACTGATTTTCTTATTAGACATTAAATCTGCTACTTTGTGACAAGCTGCAAAGAATCTAATGAATTAATTATAGGCAGCAATTGTCAATGGGAATACAATGAAAAAATGTGTTTTATTTTACAGGATATGTTAAGTTAATTACCTCATTTCATTGCTCCAAATGGCTTCTGGAGTATCAAATTCACCCAAAAAAATTTCAGAAAATTTTTCTGATTCATAGTTTTCCAAATAACACACCATAGCTTCTGGGAGGATATGCCCCAAAATGCTTCTCTGAACTATATCTTGACCTTTTGCCTAAAAAAAAAACCAGGAACACAAATAAGTATAAACAAACATGCTAACTTTAAAAAAAATAAAAAAATAAAAAAAATAAATTTATTAAAAAAATAAACATACTAATATTAAAAAGTTGCTTATTTTCTAGTAACAAAATTGTGAATACTTTTGCAGACATTCAGTATAATTTATTCTTAAATGTGTGAGATATTTATGTTTTATTTATTATTAGCTGATAACCTGGCATTGCCCGGGTATTTATTTATCCCAATCCTGTATTAGACAGAAAAAGCCATCACTCACTGTGGTGAGAATTAGAGACCTAATTGCCCTGGCCAACAGCCTGGGAAAAATTCTACAGGGAACAGCCTTTGAGGTGATTATCTGCATTAGCAAGCACCTCCCCCGACAACTTGCCCTCTTTGCTTGAAGCTGAGGGCCTAGTGGGTTTATTTTTTGTTTGTTTGTTTGTTTAAGAAACTTTATCTGAGAGCCCCCTTGTGGAGTGTGTGGAGCTGTTACCATGGCAACTCCATTGTGATGTACATTAGAAGCCATTTTAAGGCACAACAGACTGTATCTTAACAGAACTTGAATACAAAATATCACTGTCAAAAGTACTGTGATTTGACACTGTAGATATAATTTATTCCTTTTCATTTCATTTCAGCAGCCCATGCATTCCAGAGTTATGCTGGAACACACACACACACACATACACACACACACACACACACACACACACACACACTGACGGGTGTTAGGAGTGTCTTATCCCCATAGTATTTTTTTCCAGAGAGTAAGTCATCTGTGTAGCAAGTTTTGTTAAAATTGCTCGAAGTTTCCAGAGTTATGCTGGAACAGACACACACAGACCACACACACCCCGAGGGGTGTTAGGGGTTTGTTACCCACACAGTATTTTTTTTCCCAGAGAGTAGCAAGTTTGCTAAAAATTGCTCAAGGCATTATAGAGTTATGCTGGAACACACACACACACACACACACACACACACACACACACACACACAGACCCCCTCCCCCCAAGAGGTGTTAGGGATGTGTTACTCCCCCAGTATTTTTTTCCAGAGAGTAAGTCATCTGTGTAGCAAGTTTGGTTAAAATTGTTCAAGGAGTTCCAGAGTTATGCTGGAATACACACATACACACACACAGAGACACAGACACACACGGAGCGGTGTTAAAGGTGTGTTATCCCCACAGTATTTGTTTCCAGAAAGGAAGTCATCTATGTACCAAGTTTGCTTAAAATTGCTCGAGGCATTCCAGTTATGCTGGAACACACACACACACCACCAGGGGTGTGTTACCCACACAGTATTTGTTTCCAGAGGGTAAGTCATCTGTGTACCAAATTTGGTTGAAATTGCTTGAGCCGTTCCAGAGTTATGCTGGATCACACACACACACACACACACACACAGAGAGATCCTTTTATATATAGATAGATAGAGGATAGAAGAAGATAGAAGAAGAAGAAGAAATTTGAATGCTGCCCATTTCACCTAGCAATAAAAGCAGCAAAATAATTGCTTTAACCATCATGATGCCCCCTATTTATGCCAGATTTTAATTTTAGTCGACAGGATTTGAAATTTAGCAGGTCCAAAATGACTGAACTGCACCTTTATTTACTTGAAATTTTATTTAAATACAAATGAGATAGTTTATTGACTGATTAGCCTTATGGCCTACAACCATATTAAAAATATAAAGCAAAAATAAAATACAGGACATATTTCCAGGATAAAATAGATAAAAGGAAAATATAGAAATAAAATATATGTGGTAAATATAAAGAATCAGTATTCAGGCAAATTCATCATCTTTACAGGATACCCCAACTGTTCAATATAATAGGTTTTTAGACCAACTGCCTTAAAGTTAGCAGTTCTGCTCACAATGTATAGATTCCAGTAAGCTGTGCTTTCAAGTAGGGATGTTAAGTATCAAAAGCTAAATTGACAAACAATAAATGATCAATATGTTTGATGGCTGAGACACCACATATACATGTCCGCTCATGATATGGCAGATTATAGAAATATCCATGGAATCTAGCAATTCAAATCCAATTCTAGAATAGATCCTTTTTGAGAATTGGGTAAGACTTATTGACAGGTATTTTTCAAGTTGAAAAAAAGTTTTGTTCTTAGTTAAAAGAACTACTGATAAGTGTAAATCAGTCTGATATCTTTTAAACACTTTTATGTTTAAAAATTTCCCTTGCCTCGGAAACAGTTGAAAATAAATACTGGATGGAAAACCCATGCTGTGAAATAATTTTTGAAAATTGGATTATCGAGGAATTGGGCTGAGCCATAATTATTTATTCCATTAAACATATATCGGATATCTTATAAGGGTCCATTGAATGGATCTTCTGTCAGTATGCAAAGTGTTTAATTATGAATTGGTCATATATGAAGTGGATATCCAATTCTGCTGTGACCTGGAGGGCTGACATGTTCTTATCAATTCCTAAAATGCTTCTTTAAAAACAGGTCTGATCTTGTTCAAATGACGTAGCTTTGGTAAGGCCCCACAATTCTGCATTGTAAGTCAGCATTGGGACTATTTTTGGTGTGAAAATTTTCAGTACAGGGATCAAGGTACCTGGATAATTATTAGATAATTCATATATTCTTTTAATACTTGTCTCAACTTTTGCTGAGCTTCTTTTAAAATGATTTACGCATACCTCTGTATTGGTAAAAACCTCAGTAAAAAAAATAATTTGTTCAATAGGTTCCTCATTTATCTACCAATTATATTTCACACTTTTTTTTTTGGATAAATACCATCATTTTAAATTTGATTTTTTTAATATTTAGAAAATTAACAGCATAACAGATATTTAGCTTTCACATTAGTCTTTTCAGGTCAATTTGAGTGCGCCATTAGAGCTATATCATCAGCATATAGAAGAATATTAATGAATTTATTATGGATCTTTGGACTATTTCTGAATATTAACAGAGATTAAAAAGCACTGGGGTTTGCTCTTCCGGCGGTGACATCAAGCGGTGTGGGCGAGGGAGAATTTGACAGCTCCCGTAAACCCAGCTAATCCTTGTATAGGAGCTCCAAAAGGGCAGTTCCAGACCCGGAGAGTCCGGAACATTAAAGGGGAAGGTTTCAAGCTTTGAACGAGGCGCTAGTGTCCTGGAGTGTGAAGCCGGACCCCTTAAATCTCGCAGGGAAAAATCTGCCTTCCTAGGCAGATCGAAAATGATGGCGGCCACCTTTGAGAGGAAGTAAAGAGTGATTCCAGCTACAGCGATCGAAGTGGGAGGAAGGAAGAAGAGAGAATTAGTGAGACGGCAGAAAAACAAAGGTGGCATTGAAAAGAGAGTCGCAGAGAATATTTAAAGAGGCGACTACAGAGAAAGGCGCTCGGCATGAGACGATCGAAAGAAGTTAACAACGTAACAGAAACAGTAAGCAGAATCAACAAAAGAAGACTTTCTGGATTGATACAGAGGAGATGGTGGAGAAAAGAGAGAACAATTGTAAAATGGTGACTTTGCTTTAACAGATACTTTTGGTGGGTGATTTTGGAACGATCTATCTGATTTGGTTTTGGAAAGGAGATTTTGGACAGAGCCAGAGAAGTAAGTAAAACAATTCAATACTGTGGATTTATAAATAACAAGAATGACAACAAAGTTTGAGACTGTGTAGGACTGGAAATAAGGAAGAATTGGACGGGGGTGTGAAGAGAGGGGGGGAATCTGAACTGGACAATCTGATGCAATAAGGAACGGAAGGAGCAGAGGAAGGCATCTTGAAAAAAAAACTCTAGCTTCAAATTTGATTTAAGTAATCCTAAGTAACTATTAAGTAGTTACTATTAAGTAATATTTTTGAAAGACTTTTGTAATTGGGAAAAAGGGGGAATCTGTTTTGCTGATCATATGAGCAAAAATTATAGGCTTTATAGAAAGGAGTAAGAATTAAAGGAGATCAGACAGTGGTGAAAAAGGGATTGGTTTAAAAAAATACAGTGAAAAGAGAGGGGAGAAGAGGCATAACAGTTGATAATTGTTATTTGAAAGGTACATTTGAGAGCGGTAGCGATTTTCTAACTGAATACTAACGTTGCAAAGTAAAGTAATACCTAAAAATTTATGATATTGTGGAGGAATTGGACTAAAAATATAATAATGTCAACAACAACAACAATAACAAAAACAGGGGGGAAAAAACCTATAGTAAACACAACTGCAACGCCCTCACCTACAATGCAGCAATCAATTGAATCCATGCTGGGAAAAGAAAAGGATAAGATGGAACCAACTATGAGCAGCATGCAAAATATGCTACAAACAATTCAAGAAACTTTATTGAAATCGCAAGAAAAAATGGCAAATCACCAGGAGGAAGCCAGAAGAAATCACCAAGAAATTAAAGATGAACTAGGAGAGCTAAAGGATGATTTGAAAAGTATGAAAGAGAAGATGGAGAATATTCAACAGACAGTAGCAGAGAATGAGCATAAAGTAAAAAAAAGAAAAAAAGAAGATAAAGTAGAACATTTGGATTTAAAGTTAGAAATGGCAGAAGAGAAATTATAACAACAAAATAAAGAACTGGTTGACTCAATTACTTTCCTAGAAATGGAAAAAGCCTCCTTCTTCCTACGCTTCCAGAATGTCACTGAAGAGAGAGAAGATTTGGAAGAAAAAATGTGTGATATAATAGCGGAAATAATACAGAAAGACAAAATAGAAGTAAAAGACTCAATAGATGAAGCATACCGAGTATACAATAATTTTTTTTCGACTTATTAAATAGATTAACTACAAAATGCATTTGGCAAGGAAAGAAACCTAGAATTAGGTTAAAAGTATTACAAGATATCAGAGAGAGAGGAAGAGCCGCCCTCCCAGATGGGGAGACCTACTATCAAGCAGCAGGATTAGTTTGGATAAAGGAGTGGATGGAATTGGAAAATAAAAGTCTGCTAACATTAGAAGAACATGATCTAACTATAG